TGTTGTTGTCCATCACCCCGGGAGCGCGGGTAGTGGCTGTGGATATTGGTGCTGGGGAAGGAGCTCGCTCCTGGAGGCGGTGAAAGCCGGTTCAGCCTTGTTTGCTCCAGAGCTTCAGGGCATTTGGCTTTAAAGAAGTGCAYGAGCCAGCCAGCATGAGCACTTCTCAGGAGTGCCACTCCGTTACCTTCAGCAGCTGATAAATCAACGTTCAGAGCGGTAAAAAAAGCCCCAAGGAAGGAGTTGAGCTGCCGTGCACCCTTGTGGCAAAYTCCGGACAAGGTTTTCCCATGCAGCGGGGAGCCAGGGTTGCTTATACCCCCCTGCACCGAGGTGGCAGTGTTGCCAGGAATGAGGGCTGCTCGTTCCACATAAAGAAAACAAAAACACCCCTGGACTTGAGCTGGGAAGACAACGAAGGAACTGCGTTTGAGCTCGGGCTGAAAGACACACAAATTATGGTGGAGTCCAAAGGAATCGTTTGGTCTGGGAGAAGCAGTGGAATGGAAACCCCCAGTCACATTTTTCTGTTGCAGGAGATTGGTGCCTTGTACAAGAGCTCAGGAAGTTTCCGCATCTGTGACGGGAATTTTTCAGCTATTTTCAACTCCTGGGTCAGCTCCAACCGCGGTGGAAGCGGCCAGATCATCAGCATCAGTGTGTGCCTGCCGCCCTCTCAGCCGCTGCCACTCCTAATACGAGTTGTCCTAAAAAATATCCCTCGAAATAGCGGCTACCCCGGCCCTTTCTGTGCATCAGTGCTGTGCTCGCTGTGCTGAGCAGCTGCTGCATCCTCCTGGCGCCGCCTCGCTTGTGAAATACTGCCCTGCAGAGCCGTGCTGCTACAGGAGAGGTTTTGTAGCATATCTGTAGTTACAAAGCGTAATCTGTATGTTCATTTTTGCATTTTTCTCCAAATTTGTGCATCTTTCTGTGCTTTCTTGGTAAATATTTAATATGTAGGCTACATCAGAGAGCGGTTTGGTTTTGGAGAAGGCTGGAGCTGGAAAACTTTCCCGCTTCCCTTGTCTGGCAGCTGGGACCCAGCTGCTTGCGCAGAGGTGGCTCTTGAGGCAGGAGGGCCCTGGCTGCTCCCAAGTTTTCCAGAGGGAGGGACTTCTGTGGAGCTCGGAGAGCCTGGGATGTGGAGCTGGAGCTGTAGAGCTGCTKTATTCAGGGATAGAGGGATGTTGTTTTCAGAAGCATGAATAGTTTTGTTCACAACTTGTGGAGCTCGGRAACTTGTCGATGCAGTGCGTTTTGGCCATGAAAAGCTGGTGATTTTGGATCAATTTGCATTGCCTTAGTAGCTGCTTGATCTCCTGGWAATGGGAGCCTTAAGATTCAAGAATGCTTTTGTAAGTAGGACAGAAATAAAAAAGAGCCCTCCTCCCCAAGACTAAATAGTGATAAAAACATTTTGCTGATTGCAGATGATTATAATGCAGCTGCTCAGCAGTGACATCCCAGCCATGGAAAAATAACATTGGTTCTTGAAACCGTTTTCCAGTCCGTGCAGCACATAAAAATCCTTCATGTACAGCTGGCACATTTAACTTTGATTGTGTTGTTTAAGTGACTGATGTGAGAACAGCCTGAATTCTCGTTGCTTGCAGAATTCAAAAATAAGGTTGTTCCAATTCAGCTGCATTTGGTTATTTTGGAGGAGAGACCCAACTATCTCAAGTGCTTTCGGGGCTGCTAATTAAAGTTATGTGGCTCCGCTATGAGCGAGTCTTTAGAGATGGATGGAGGGACTTACCCAAGGTCGGAGAGTGTGTCACCAGAAACGATGATTATAAAACCCATGCCCTAATTTGGTCCTGCATGATTTTCTTTCTGCCGTGCTGAAAATCCCCCCAAAATAACGTGTGGGGCCGCGCTGGCAGCAGGGATGCGCGGGGTGGGAATTGTGCTTCCCAAGCCGGAATCCAGTGGGAAGAGCAGTGATGTGGGGGACTCGGCAGAGCCTGGTGGGGGTGTTGCCTCCTTTCTGAAGTTGGTTTCTGCTTTTTCTGACCCAAATTGCTCCGGTGCCTTTTCTTAGCCGCTGCAGAAAGTGTATTTTAAATTCCCCTGGCRTCCCTGGCTTCAGGGCTCTTCCCTCTGCCAGCAAGAAGTGGGCAGACAGCAGAAGCTGCTATCCAAAACGGTCATTAGTGGAAAAGGAGATGGTGGCGAGCTGACAAGCTTTGCAAAAAGGCTGTTTAAAATGTGCCAGATTCAGCAAATCCTCCTGCAGGCGTGTTTGTAGAAAACAGGAATGCGAAGGCGCAGCCCAGGGCCGGCGGAGGGCGAAGGGCTCGGTGCGATGCTCCGGAACAGCAGCGGGACCCGGGATCACTGGGATGCAGAGAGGCGCGCAGAGACACGGCCCTGTCACCTGTTTGTTGCAGATAGAGAACGGGGTGAGGGAACTGGGTCCGGTTCCTGGGAAGGGGCAGGGAGTTTGCGGAGGGAAAGGTGGTGCTTGTGGCATGGGCATTGCCCGCAGCGCTGCTGCTGGAAGAGCTCGGAGCCCTAGGAGGCCCAGGCTGTGCTGGGGAGGTGCCCGTGTCAGGTCTTGGCTGTGGGCTGAGCTCAGAGCCGAGCCCAGGGAGGCCCAGGCCGTGCTGGGCAGGCGCCTGTGCTTGGTCTGTGCTTGCTGGCGCTTGGGGAGCTGCTCTCCAAGGGCGCCCGCTAAACTGTCTCCTCAGGAGCTGCCTTCTGATGCAAATGTCAGTTTTGTGCTGTCAGTTTTGAGCAGAAATGCCTCTCTTTTTCACTCCCTCTYCTTTTTGTTCTTTGCTTTTAAGGCAGCAGTCAGAGAGCCTCCCGCACTGCAATGCGCCGCCGGCAAACGGGGCCAGCGCGACAGGAGGGAGCTCWGGCTGCGAGGGTTACACTGCAGCAATGGGTAGGGAGCAAAAAGCTGCATATCTGGGGGGGAAGAGAGCGGGCCTCGGCTTCCGCTGCACCACCGAGCGTGGGGTACCTGGTCCCCTTCCTTGTTTTTCYCCCCTGCTCTTTCCTGGTGGAGCGTGACACTGCAGCTGGGCCGCTGCCAGAGCGCCCTGGGACTCGTGTTGCCGACAGCCGCTGCCAGGCTCCTCCTGAGCTCCCCTTTGCCTTTCTTGGCTGGAAAAAGGATTAAGTTAGCGGGACAGGAAAATTAATTAGCTGCCATTTTAAGGATGCAGCTTTTGTTGCAGGCCGAAGCGTTTGGAAATGAMACCGCGTCGCCCGGAACAGCGTGGRGCTCGGTCGGAGCTTCTGAGCTGCTCGAGCTCGGGGTTTATCTGCACCCTGGTTCCTGCCCGGCTGCCTCGGGCAGCAAGGTCACCCTCAGGAGCCGGGAGCATTTCCCTTGGCTGCTAGTTCTGCCTGGGAAAGCTGGTGCCGGCCTTTGCTGCTTGTTTAATGTCTAAGATGGCCCTTCTCTGCCCCAGGCTGCCGGCCAGGGCTGCGCYGGCACGGCCTGGAGCCGCAGGAAAGCGAGCGGAGCTGCAGCCTCCCTGCCCGCGAGGCCCAGATCCGGAGGGATTTCCGCGGTGGCTCCACATGGGATTCCYGTGGGGAGGGAGGGTCCTGTCTGGTTCTGCAGCAAAGCTGCTGTTTTGGGGCATCCACCTACCCCAAAGAGGCCAAAACGTCRTCGCCAAAGGGAGAGGGGGGATCTGGATCCTGCTGGAGGGTGTCCGTATAGCTCCATCGTGGAGGGCATCGGAGGCAGCGCGCTGCAGAGTGAGGACCCCAAGGTGCGGGAGGTGAGCAGCAWGGAGGCACGAAACCCCTCATTTGCACTAGGAAGGAGCTGCCATTCCTGGCTTTCTCCAGGGCCTGAGCCCTGTTTATACCCCGGATCCCCGGGAACGGGGCGGTTGCCACCCTGGAGCCTGCGGCCGTGGGCGCCTCAGCCGTTAAGGCAGCAGGAACTGCTCTCCCGGCTGCYTCCCCTTCCCTCGTCCTGGCTGCAGAGACAGCCCCAGCGCTCGCAGTGTCCTGGGAAGCAGCAGAGGGGAGCAAAAAGGTCCCTTATAGCCCTCACACCTGCAAATAAATGTGTGTAATTAGCCTTTATTTTTGGGCTAGRTGCCATAGTTTGGCCCTCTCCCTGGGAATTGTGGTTTTTACCAGCTGTATTTGCAGCCGGGGGGAGGCGTCTGTCACTGCAGCCTCTAGTGAACAACTRCAGCTGCAAACCGTGTCCTAGGCCTTTTGCACCCTGTGTATTTAATGCAATAGAAGCATCGTGTCCCTTCGTCAGCTCAGTGCAGGCTGGATGGCAGTGAAGGCACCCAGGGTGAGCTTGGAAACTTCCCCCCTTGGCCCAGAGCACTAAGGTGCTGGCCCGGCTCCTGCTCCGCTTCAGAAGGAGGCGAATGCAGCTGCAGCGCCGCCAGATGAGCGCGGAGCCTCCTGTGGTGCCGCCTCCCTAAAACCCTCCTGGGTTGCTGGTTTTCACCCACTGCTGCCCTGATTAACGCTGCACTTGAGCAAACTGTGGGATGTGGAAATGTGAAATCCCCCAGCAGCGGCGCGGAGCCACATGTGAAACGCGCTCTTGCTCCAGCCCCACGTTAACCATCTCCAGCCCCCGGGCAGCCCGGCTGGCTCCTCCAGCAGCAGGCTCAATACCAAACCTCCCACAAGCACATTACGCAGCACAGCCCRGGGCCAGCACGTGGTAGAGAAGCTTTTTGCTTTGCTTAAACTGGAGCGGGGAAAGAATCTCAAGGGCCAGCAACTTCTTCTTACATGTTTTATTTAGCTACTTACAGCATGTCGCTTTGCTTCCCTTTACTGAGCTTACCTCGTGGTAACCAACACCAGGCCAAGCACAAACTTTCACACGTGCTATTATTAAGTCAAGATCCACTTCTTGTCAATACCAGGCAGTTGTTTTTAAACACATGGTCCTGAGGGAGCTGCTGTGAGAGGCTCCAGAGCGGCCAGAAATAAAGACAAGCATTCCCACGTGCTTTAAGGATATCATTTTTTATTGGACATTGCAAGATCAATAAGAAAAAATAATTTGTACAGCTTTGTTATGTGATATAACCATTGCTGCTGAAGAGTAAGGCTGCTTATCACAAGGAAAGCGACCTGGCACAGCCAACAAGGTGCTCCTAGCAGGACTAAGTCTGAGAAAGAGTTTTTCTCCACGAAGGACTTGTCACGGAGCAGAGCCTTGGCCTTGGGCAGGTCCAAGGGCCTTACGGAGCGCAGAGGGGTTTTCTTGGATGGGAAGGGTGAGCAGCCCTGCTCTMGGAGCCCCTCAACCTGCTGCAGCAGTTACTGACCCTCTGCTCTGCTTCCCTCTCCCTCTGCTGATTCTGTCTGCTGTTTTTGCTCCGCAGCGAGCGAGGTTGCGGGGCCACTCAGCCCTTCCCTGCTCGCGGAGCCTCTTCCCCAAGGATAGAGCTCTGCCTGCAGCAGCGCCCTGACCCGGCGCCTGCTATTTTAGAGGCTTCTGGTGACGGCAGCTATCAGGAGAGCTGATTTGTGACACCGGCTCCAGGGCAGCCGGAACGCTCTAGGAAGCAATCCAGCCGCTCCGACGCCTTCAGCTGCAGCGTAACCCTTTCCGACCAAACCCCGATGCCCAAGAGTGACGGCAGAGCAGCAGCTAATGGATATTGCCCTAGCACTGGGGGACCCACTCCATAGGATGGGCAGAGCTAGAAACAGAGGCTTCAGTTTACGCAGTATTGTTGCTAAGCTTTTCACCTTTGAAAGGTCTAAAGGATTTAAAAAATGGATGCTAGGACGAAAGGCTGACTTTGCACAGAGGCAGAGTGACATCCTCGGGCTATGCAAACTTCTACTTGGCCCCATCGGTATCTCRAACTACCATCTCTTGGCTATGTCAGGGAGAAGAAGGGTATTCCACTGCTGGACTGAAATGCCAGACCAAGAAAATAAGAAGTTAGCATCATTTCACCCTCTCTCYACCTAAGGAGAGAGCCAAACTTAGCAGTAAGTAGGAGTTAAGGACCACAACATCTGTGCTAGTACATATAATCAAGACAGTCATCTTAAATCAACTAAGGGCTCAGCTGGAAAAAGAAATCAACTTTATAGGCTCTGTTGGCAGAAAAGGGGTGGTTGCACCACAAGCAGTTGATTACCTGTACTGTGCTAACACCAGTGGACACATAGCGTTGCTGGATCTACCCTTGGAACATTTACAGAATGGGTATTTCTTATTGATAGTGAAACATTTCTCATAGAGGATGACTCAGGAATTAGTATCTGGTGCCATTTTCAGTACTAAAACGCCATCCAGCCATCAGAGGAACCTTCCCATACACACAACTAAAGAAAACAAATACAGTGGGGAAACGAGCTGAGCATCACAGATTATTTATGTGGTTAGAAGTGAGCTGCCTTCCCCCTCACAGGCACCACACGTACAGCCACATCCCGGGCAACTCGGGGCAACACAGGACAGCTGACATTTAAAAAAAAAGAGGGCAATAAAGAAATAACATGGTAAAGAAAAACGGGGAAAAAAACCCCAAACTTCACACGACTATTATTCAGCATTGTAAAAGAAATAAAAATGAAAGCAACCTTTTGGATTTCCCATGCCTACACCATGCAGGTCTCCTAGGCATTCTAGGAACAGGAGATGCTGCCCTTTTTCTGCTGTTAAACGATGCAGTGCACACAGTATTTCCAAGAGTTCCATAAACTGCAGTGCAAGCAGACTGAGAAAATAAATAGCACTCAAACATTCCTTCTTGTCAAAGAATATTAAATGCAGTAAAAACTAGCTTGCTTTTGGTTTTAACTGAAGCCAGCTGCAACTTTTTTAATATATGAAAATTTGAAGATGTTTCACAGCATAATTGTAGAATAATTTACATTGCATTGCCAATTCACAATTCAGTCATTTTTGTTAACAGTGTACAAAGAAGGTCCTTAGTTTATATATATATATATATATATATACTTTATAAAGTCTGGAAGATCAATATAAATACTGCTCCAGAAATTAAAAAAGTGTTTACATCCCCAACTCGAATATTACATCTCAGTGTCCTGGATTATTATTATAATCTGTAAAAGTCTTAACGGCGCAGAGGTTCAAGTTTCCGAAATTTCAGTGACGAGTTGGATGATAAAGCATCTTGGTTTGAAGAAGAATTCACTGTGTCTGGGGACTGGAACAATACTCTACCACGATGATTAAATACATAAAAAGATGGATGGTTCCTTAATGTGTCAAACGTCCTTCAAAATAAACGTAAAAAGCCAAAGTTAATACTGCTTTAGAATGGTGCTTTTAGGCGAGTTAGTCTAGGATATATCAACTTTTACAGAGAAATACAAGTTTTGAAGCCAAAGTTTAGGAAAGTGTGCGTGCACTCTGCAAACTACTTAAACCAAATGCAGTGRAGAATTACAAAGCCAGCGAGTCAGGAAAAACCCTGACTGTTTGACACACAAATACTGCTCTGCACTTCACTGTCCTTCCTTGAGCTGAGGGGCTGCTCTGTGGGTTGTTCCTAAAAATGTTCCTAAGGGGCCAGTCTTCCTTCAGCTGACACCCCTGTTAACACCTTGACACTGTTTACCATCAGTCTGCCACCTTTTTCCATGCCAGACATTCAAGCTTTTAGGTAAACATTATGAAATATGATAATACTGTCTTTTATTGTCCCTGCAGTCAACCCACTCCTCCATCAATTCTGCAAGGCAGGATTTGGGGCAAGGAAAAGCAAGAAGCTCCTTTCATTTGTTCCTGTTATCTAGTTGAAATTCCATAGGCTTCTGGCTTGCCACAAATGACTATTCTCCTCTGTGTCACATCTACAACACTTATTTAGGAAGAACTAAGCTAAAAAGAGAGCCAGCCTGCTGCTGCTGCTTCAYAGATGTGCTGTTTCTACAGAGAGATGCAGATGTGTGTGTACTTACAAAGAGAAGAAATAAAACATACTTATTTTTTAGCTCTGAAGTGGCATCCATGTCTTTAAATTCGCCTGCGATATGTACTATCCCATAGCAGGTAACTGCAAAGGCTAACAGAGTTTGAAGAACTATCTGTAACAAGAGGAAAATACAATGTGACATACACGCTACCRTGTGGTTTTTAGTGTTTATATATGTATTTTAAAAATAAAAGTCTTCTAAACAGTCTTTTGCCCTATGCATCCAGCTATAGCAAGTGTTTTACAGAGGTGGGTGATTCAACAGCAGGGAAAAAGGCACAGGAAGGTTAAATAACTCACCTAGGGAAGCAGAGCAAAACAATTTCAGCACCGAAAGCAGCTCAGGATGGCAGACACACAGTCTGCATCGCATGAACTAAACTGGTTCACGCAGCTCCTCAGCAAGATCCTGGCTTCCTTGGAGGAAAACACTTTGTTCCTGCACACTTAAGGCTCTAACTCTCTTTCTGAGACGTGTGAGCTGCCAGCACAGCCTCTGCAGAGCAGACCGTTGCTGGGYGGCCTGAGCGCTGACTGGCACCAGTGGCTATTTCATCTCCGCAACTTCTCGGTTACGGAAATGGAAGGGATAATAATTAAAGGGGAGTTAATCCCCGAGGCGGCCCGTGCCGGGACCCAGCGGCTCGGAGCCGCGCAGGACAAACACATGTCAGGCAACCGAAGCCGGAGGAGGAGGATGTTTGTGCAGCAGGGAGCAGGCGCGCAGGGGCCCCGCGCGGCGGGCGGCGCCGGGGAGCTCCGGAGGGTCCCGCCGGCATCTCTAAGGCTGCGGGGYGCGGGACGGGCGGGCGCGGAGCCCCCGGGCCCGGGAAGCAGCCAAATCCGCGCACGCCGAGCGCGGAGCGAGCCGCCAACTTACGTCTATGGGCAACGTCTCGTCCTCCTTCTCCGTGAGCCGCATGTAGGAGCGATCTGCGGGGCAGGGACACACGGGGGCATCGTCAC